AAGCTCATTAGGTAGGTTATTCACTGCTTTCCTCCTCCTCTCTTTCCTTTAATATGTCCTGTGAGTGTTAAATTCTCCAAACCCTCTTTACCCTAGGAATTTCAATTGTCTCTTTCTGTTTCTGAGTATAAGTGTCCAGGCCAAAACTAAATTGGTTAGACAAACATAATGATAGAACAACTTTGATAATGGCTGAATTAAATGGAGTACAAACAAAATTGAAGGAGAGACTGTTTTAATATGTCAATTAAATACATTATTATGCACCTAACTTAGTTTTGAGTAGAAGTGCTAATAAATTTAATGAAGTTCAAATATTTTTCATAATTACAAAGCTTTAGTAAATTTGCATCTTTGAATACCTGATAGAAAAGTGTTTATTTAAGAATTTAATATTACCATTTTAGTAGTGTGTGACACAAGCTGGTACTATAGATCCAGAACTATTTTCATTATAATAGAATTGCATGAACTTGTGAAAAGTGCATTTCAAAATATTTTGACAATAATGAAAGGTGTGATGAAGATACAATCTGTAAAACTGATAATCTATTTGCCAAATTGAATAACTTCAGTTTCATATTTTTCATACATCACGTTACCACTGATATATATGAGAAATAAACATTATAATAGGAGCTTTAAAGCTCTTAGTTTTCATTTGTAAATTTTTTTTTATACCTGATATCTATGTATTGAAATCATAAACAAAATCTTTGCAATATTTCTAGGTATTTTCTTCAAAATTTGAAATAATTCAAATCCATTCAATTGTATTCATGACATGAAACCTACTTGTTTGTTGATAATTGCTTAATCTGTTTTGTGAATTGTCTTCACAATGGATATGTATTTTTCTAAATTGATATATTCTATACACTGCAGAATTTTTCTATAATCAATGCTTCAAATTGTTTACCATGCCATACTACATGGTTGTCCATGTTTAACAGGGAGCTCCAGGTAGTTCAGACATAATTTTTGGTAAGTTAATCTCTAGCTCTATAATCATTAGCTGATTAAACTTGTACAAAAGATAAGTGTGCTTAAATGCTTAGGATTTTGTCTACTATCTCAGTTGTCCACTGCTTTCTCTGTTGAATGTTGACTGCCTCCCAAAGTAGCTTTTCTCACGTTCTTCTGTGGTAAGATAGTAGTGTTCTGTTAATGGGTGAATTTTTTTTCTCTAAGTTTCTATTTCTCACAAATACATTTTTCTGATACTTCATGTTCATCTGAATGAAATGCAATGGTTTCTTTTTTTTTTTTTTATTGATTGATTGAGTAAATTGATCTTTTGAAATCTGGCAAATATCTGGTGTGTGAGGCATTGTTGAAGTGATTGTGCAGTTATTTCTTTTCTTAGAGAATGTTAATTCTTGAAAAAATCTGCTACTAAAATTAGTAGCAGAATTATTGAATCATAGAGTATATGAAACAATGTAAATATGTCTATCAAGCTGATATATTTATTGGTCAATCTTATAAGACAGTTGCATATACCCTACATAATTTCTTTTTCTTGTCTTCAGTGTCTATTCTTGATTTGATTATTCATAGTTTTAAGAAGTCAAGTTTTGTCCCAACTTGAGATAGTGAAGGCAGCCATTTACATGGAACCATCTTGGAGAGAGCAACTTTTATAACAATATATAGCTGTCTTTTCCAGTTATCTAACATGGAGCTATAGAAATACTTTAAACATAGCATCTTGTGCTTGAATACAAACACAATTAATCAAATATTCATTATTAGTTATGATAAAAGTTTGAATATGATAGATTTTATAACAAATTTAGTTTAAAAGTCAAACCAGAATTAAATAATGGTTTCAACTAATGTCTATGCACACACAGTGTATATAGTTGGGCATTTTTAAATTGTTTTGAAAGCTTTTCCTAATTGATTTTTATTAACTACACTTGTTAGTTTTATAGCAAATTGTAAAAATCTAAACTTTGTGAGGGAAGAATTTATTACTATAAATTTAATAAGCTAAACAGAAAATAACTTTTTTATCAAGTGTTTTGAGTAATTTTCATTATACAAATCAATGTTGATCTGTTTGTTCTTTTCATACTTTTATTTATAATTTATTCAACATTTTTATGCTAACATAGGCTAAACTCACTATGAATTACTAAGTTCAGCATAATTTATAAATATCTTATATTTTATTATAATTTATGATAAAAATCTCTTCATTTATGATGCATTCCAATTACTATGTTATTTTAGAAGTATGTTATAGTTTATGTTGCAATCTTATTTATGGGCATCTTGAGGCAGTGTAATGGTTAGCAAGCTTGTCTAGCTAGAACAATTATGACTGAGTAGTGAGTTTGATCCTCACTGGTGCCTCTTACTTTTGGCCTTGTGCCACATCTAAACTATGCTTGTAAAATCACTATAGATCTACCTTATTTCCCCCTTATAGGATGTATATTTCAATTATCTGATGATTAAACTTATATAATGCATCAAATAATATCCAATATAATTATTTACTTAATGAGCTATTACTTGGAATACAATCATTTTATATATATTTGAATGCACTGAAATATAAAAGTATTCCATTAAATTGTACTTCTGTGTATGTTTGTAGATTACATTGTTTTACTTGAGTTATATTTATCTGTTGAAACCAGTTTTGTCAGCCATCCTTTTGTTGCATTATAAAAATATTGAAGGAACAATGGACTTTGTTAGTGATGGGTTGTATTGGTAACAATAAAGTTATTGTGGGCATATTCTATCTTTTGGTAATCAGTAGTTATTACATTCTTGGTTGGAATAATGAAAACTTACTACTTTTTATTTTGATAGTACTCTTTTACAACTATCTTATGATTTAAAAAAGAAACTTCAATTCTATCAAATTTGGTACTCTTATAGTTCTGTTCATTATGGCAAATTGTATTATCATAGATTACTATCAACATTAGTTATTACTTTCTATTTCTGACTTTGATCAAGATTTTTAATATACTACTTGTAAATGTAGGTTTTAGTTGTATACCTGTAAAATGTTTAAATACATAAACATTGTTAATAAAAAAAAGTTAATGTAATAATATTTCTGACTATTGAATTTATATTAGCTTATTTAACTATGCTACCTAACAAGATAATGTCTGTTATTTCCTAATTTGTATATAATACACAGCAGTCATTTTTCAATTTAGCTCTTCTTGTATATTGATTGAATTTTGACATAATTTTTTTTCTGTTGCATTTAATGCTGTTTTTTTTGTGTTTTTTTTTTATCCAGTAGAACAATGAACAACTGATCACTTCTTTTTGAGATTTTTTTCTATTAAGTTTCAGTGAACAATCTGACCATAAACACATTGTTATAATGACAAGATGAAGGTTTAGACTAATATTATTATAGCAATTTCAATTGTACATACAATGCAACCTCAGTTCTTGGATGTCTCACATGTCGAACAAATTGTTTTTCGAACAGAAAATTCAAGATGAAAATACCTTGGTTATCAAACAAAATTTCAATTCTTGAACAACTTTGCCAAACTGAGTTAACCCGAACAGAATAATTTCTGAGTTGACCATCGTTTTGTATACATTCATGTGTTGTGTTGTACGTTTTTCCCAATTTTATTGTACTGTGACTTTTTTCTCTACATTGATTCCTATTGGAAAATAGTTTTGGTTTACAAACATTTTGGGTTATGAATGGCCTCCAGGAACGAATTGAATTTATCAACCAAGTTTCCGCTGTATCATGTTTGCTTCTTTCAATGAGCTAATATTTAAACTAAATTGAATTTATTCACTTCAAAAGTGAATAAATCCAATTTAGTGTAAATACTCCCAGAAAAGGTATTGCCCTTCAAGATGACTTGGGTGTAATGCTGACCCTTTTTAGGATGAGATAACAAACAAAATTAGATTAAATAAATCCATGATTACCATTTTTGGTATTGTCTGCATTACTTTTCTTTTAGCTAATTCATAATTAGTTTATTATTTCTCTTTCATTTAAAATTTACTGCAAAATGATAAATATTGATGAGATTTCTAATTGATGAGTAGTATTACGATAATAGTTTATCAAGATAAGTATTAAAAATGAGCATGTACTGTTCAAATAAGATTACTGTATAGTTTTTATTTATATCTTTAAAATACTAAGCACTTTATGACTTTATTGATATTTTTTTAAAAATAAGTTTAATGAATTTTGAGTGGTATTTAGTATAAATATCAGTAAAACAATCTAGTCCCAGATGATGCATTTGTGTAATGTCCCATAGATTACTAATTATAGTGTGTCTGACTGATAATACTCTACTAATTAGTGATACAATAGGTAAGAAAATATTTTTTACAGTATTTATTAATATACAAACTATATTTGATTTGGATCTGGGCCTCTGTTTGTATATTTCTATTGATTTGTCAACAGTATTGAATATATATCTATTTTTGCTGTTACTTATCCAAATAAAGATAATGAATTTTGAAAACAAATTTCTAATTATGACTAGTATTGAATTTTATTATATGATATTAAATATATAAAACATAGGTGCTACCTAATCTTTTCTAAACCTCATAGCACCATAAATTTACTTCCTGAAAATAATGTTATTACAAATAAAGATGTTACTTAAATTGTATTTCCACATTAATTATATAATTTATAAACATTGAAATTTGGCATTGATAATTTGATAATAATATTTAGAAAATGTTATGTTTGATGCATGACAATATATAAAGCTTAACATTTTTATGGAGGATAGTGAAATAGTATTTGTAGTGTGATCAATTTTCACCAGTTGTGTCTATAGATACTAAACTTGTAAATAGTTAGAAAATCAATGAAAAATAGTTAAATGTCTCTTGCTAGCTATTAATTCAGCATTGGGTTATTTTTCGTTGTAAGAAAATGTTTAATGTTTTGTGTATTTATATTATGTTTGTAAAGTGTTTTAGTACAATAAATGAATGGTTCTATTAATTTTTTCCAGGTACTGTACACATTGTCAAAACTCTCCAAGACAGAACTTGCTCAAAAGACAGCCAGGTAAGCTTTACTAATAAAAAATCTCTCTAGTATTCTAACATGCAAAAACATGTTAAGAAGTGTTGATTTTTTTTTTTTTTTTTAAATACATAATATCACATTGATGATCACTCAATTTTTACAACAAACTTTGTAAATTTCTCAAGTTTGAAAGAATTTCACTTTTTTATTTTTTTAATTACATTTTTAGGTAAATGTTACAGAAGAAGTAAATAATAGAAGTAAATATGTATCTCATCTTTTTGTTAGACCAATGACTGGCTGAACTTCCTTTTGTTGTTAGGCAATGTACAGAAATGCAAAATGCAATAACTAATAGCAACTAGATAGTGTTCAAAAATTTCCTTAAGTGTAAAATGAACATTTAGACAATTGACTAAAATTTAGGAAGTCTTTGCTTGTACTCTGAGGCATTATTGACAGTGATTAATACAGTTGCTATTTAAACAATAAGGGAAGTTAAAATACACTTATTTCAATATATTATTTTATTTTTAAGTTATTCATTTCTGATTTAACTTTTGTTGTGGTTCAAATTGAAAAATCTGTAGCAAACAAGGTTATAGACTTTCACCAGTTTTTGCATGTGTATGACTGTTTTTAATTAGTTAATTGAAAAAATATTTTTTGTGCTGTATTTTTTGCTGAAGATCTTGTGAATAGGTTTCTCAATAACATATAACAAAGTTTTTCTTTTAAATCAAATATTTGAATAAATATTTTAGAATTTTGATGTTATATATATTCTGTTTTGTTTTCCTGTAGAATTGCCATCTAGACTTTCATTTTGCAATTAGAAACTGACTTGTTATATATATATATATATATATATATATATATATATGTGTGTGTGTGTGTGTGTGCACTACAAAATCTATTAAGTATTATAGGTTTTATAAGTTGTGAGTAAATTATTCATAGTTTTCCTTGGTAAAATACTTATAAACCTTATCTGTTTCCATTGTTTGAATGATATATTTTATCATTCCTACTCAGCAATAATGTATATTTAAATCATGTAATCCAAGTAAATGAATTTGTATTATGCTATTTGTTCATCATAAATTGTTTTAAAGGAAATCTTTTACAGCTTTTTAGTATCAATCTTTTATAGCCAGCATTTGACAATCATTATTCTGATTAGAGTAATAGTCTTTTTCATATAGAAACTTTTATTAATTTTAAAATAAGATTTTCTTAGGCTGTGAAAACTGAGTTTCTTTTATTTTTTCAAAACATATTAAATCTGTTTTTAAATTTTTTGCTAACAAATAAGCTTATGGAAATATACTTTAACATACTGAACATTAACCTGAATGATATTAATATTTGTGATTTTTGTCTGTTCATACAACTATTAGCAAAAAATGATTGACCATAATAGAGCATTTAAAAGAAAGTTGGGAAATCAAAAGTAGTTGTGCTTAATGACGCCAAGAAAGAGGATGGAGTTGTCTTTTGAAAATTAGTGATGTATTTACAATGATCAGGTGATTGTTGACAAATGAGATGATATAGGAAGAAAGTGTAATCCAATGTAATTGTGTCTTTTGGTGTCATTAAAAATTGAATGTGCATGTATCTTTGTATATATTACTTTTTGATCTTAATAAAACAATGAGAAAAAGACTTGTTTCACAGTATCAGTGTAAATTTCTCTTTTTCATGTTGAGTTCTTGTAGATATATGAGCATGATAACTCATCGAATGCTTTCAAAGTGTGGCTTTGTACATAAAAATTAATCTACTGTGCCTGTATACCAGGAAAGTATTCACTAGAAAATGTGTTGTTAAAAGAAAGTGTGTATAAGGGAAATAAGAGCATGAAAAAGTTGATATGAATGGGGAGCGCTTAGATAATGTATAGCTCAAGTATGAAAAATATGTAAACTGAAAATGTCCATTGTAAGTGTTTGAGTAATGTTGAGTTTGGTATTGTGAGTATGTGAGCAGATATTGTAGTTTAAATTTCTTACTATTTTATTCCATGCCATTATGATTGTAATTGTGAATCTAGAACTTGGTAAGAAAATTCACCCATTATTTTGGAAAAACATATTGTATTTTTAAAATTTTATATCATTTAAAGATGATTTCACTTGTGACATTAATTTCAATGTTAAGCATTTGTTAATGTTAAAGAAAAATAATTGATGTATCAATATAATTCTTTCTTAAAAGTCAGTTGAAAATATTTTTTTATATATTTTCACCAATTTTTATATGCAGAACATGCCAGAAACTTGAAATGTGTCCCTAAGAAAACTGCTAAAATGTAACTTACTACTAAACAAGTTGATAAGCAATGTGATGAGGAAAAAATGATGTTTCTATTAATTCACTTACAAAGAAGCATTTTTGTTAATAACAATCAATACTTTTCTTTCAAAACCTGGCTGTTGACAGCCAAAAGGTCAAGCCCTTTTTATTATCAGCATCAATAGCAACGTTATCTTCGAGATGTCATACAACTAAAAGGAGATTTTTCCATAACATTTGTTTTCTGATTCGAAAAAGAAAAAAATGAGATAATAATATCACAAGGGGCTATTAGTAAATAGATTCATATTCATTCTGCTTAAAATGTTTGAAAATCATTTGAAATGTATATTTCCTTATTTTGCTCAGTTTCTTATAATAATAAGCTTATAAGAAATAATTTTTTGTGTAGATTTTGAGAGGATATTGTAATTAAGTGTCTATACTTATAAGTTAATATGGTTATTTCCTCCTTTTTACTAAAGCTTTTTGTACTTAGGAGTAAATCAAGATTAAAACGCATCATATAGTTTTTGCAGTAAATTCTACTGTAAATTCAAACATATCTTTGGCTTGATTTTGAGAATGGGCATTAAAATAAACTCAATAATTTGTTGAAATTAACAAAATACTGCATTTTCTGTTGAAATATGCATTTTCTTGACCAATTTTAATGATTCAGCATTAATTTGCAAAAAATGTTTGAAATCTGGCAATGAATTGATATTATTTATTTAATCTTCTTTTTTGAGAATAGAGGAGTTTGAAAACTTAAAGGCAAAGTACTATAAACAATGGTTAGCTCGTATGTGATGTTCAATCTCCATTTTCAATATCTTTGATAAGAGAAAAGAATAAAACGTTTTCCAACTGTGTATTGTTCTTGTTCCTCCTGCCTCTCTTAAAACCTTTAAAAAGATAAATGTATTTTTGGCATTTTTTTTGCTTTGTCAGACATTTTCTTTATCAAGTACTTTCAATTTTTGTCACTTTAGTTATTTTTGACTTTTGTATTACAATCTTTTGCTCCTTGTGGATTATCAAACAAAACTGTCTCTCTGTCTAGTTTGTAAAATGTAAGTCTGCAGCTTTGCTTGGTGTTGAAACATTCTTTACTAAATACTATAAGTATTAATATTCTTTAAAACCCTTTGATGTTTCTAATGTTTTTGTTACAGTTACTTGTCTCATGACTCTTGTAGAAGTTAATCATTAACTCAATTCAGCGGAAGAAATTTTTGTAGAATTTTCTTATTCCATTACACTTATAAAGTTCTGAGATAATTTATTTTTCAGCAAAAGTTATTTTATTCAATTTTATACTTTGTCCCCCCATGTTACACATTTATTGTGTCTTCTGATGTCTAATCTTTGCCGTATTAGCTACGTTAGTATAATATTCAGAACATTATTTTCTGTTTAGATAAAATGTTACCATAGTTTATTGGTAACATAAAGTATATATTTTTTATGAAATTTAAAATGTTAAAAAAATTAAAAATCTTATGATGCAGGATGAATCTAAAGTTCTTCATTGCCAGTTAATTAAATTTAAGATAAAATTTAATAATTATTGTGAGCATTGTGAAGTGGAATTTAAATTGAGAATTTAATATGAGTAAAATAAATATATTGTCTAAAATACTAAGTTGAATATTATGGAATAGAATTCTACCTTAAAAATGTCTCATTGTGGAGTCACTTAGAACAAGTTTGATTTACAGATCCATTTTTATATTTATGATTATCTATCTTTTAAATTACTATTAATTTTTGGCTCAAAGTGTTTAATTATCTGATATATTCACATTTAGACATTAAATCACTTCAAAATTATTGCAACACTTTTACTTAGCAGGAACTCTGGAATTTCTGTAGCTTTTTTTAGCTTAATATGATTATTATTGGGTTTACAATGTGTATATATTTTAAATATTTAACTGAGTGACAATGTTGATATTATGGAATACTTTTAACATGTTTCTGTATTTTTTATTTTATTTATATATTAACTATCTCCCAAATTTTCATCCAAAGTATCATTTATTTTGATCATTAAAATATATTTATTTAACTTTTTATATACCCACTTCTGTAATTTTATAGTGATAATAGTGAAATATTTATTGTATCAGAATTTTGACTTTTAATAATTATTATTATTTTAAAATTCTTTTGTTATATGTCTAAATTTGTCATGGACAATAAGAGAAAGATATGACACAAAACTTTTTTCTTTTCCTCTGTCATTTTAGCATTTTATTGGAATTTTCTATCAAAAATAAAATCATAAAATGTAGTATAATAAAAAATAAATTTGTAGCTTTTATAAATTAAATTTTGTATTTTAAAATTTATAACTATATACTGACATTTTTATTCAGTTATTCCATAGCAAAATTAAAAAATATATTTATGATTTCTTTCTATCACTACAGTACTTGGAAAGGAAATATTTAGTTTGTTCTTGAAGAAAAATGTCATGTGAACATTTTGACAAGTTTTTTATTCAAAATATAATAGACAACTAGAAAATAAATTTGTCATATCTTTTTCATTTTTTAAAAATTTTATTTTTAACATTTGAAAAAATCCAATTTACTTTTTAGGAAATAAGTTGGAAATTTTCAGATATTTGTTTTGACTACATTCTAAGTTTTTTGTTTATGCTAAATATAGAAAACATTCCTAAAAATGAAAAAAAAAAAATTGGAATTCTACTCCTTTTATTATCTTCATTC